TCACAGTGACATTTGTTATATCTTTTTTTTGTTGTAAGGGACCATTTACAATATTAAATGTTACAATCTGATGTATTGTTAAGCTTTAAGCTAAGCTTTTCATCTGCAGTCACACAGATACAATCAGAAAAGCAGTAAACAAACATACAGTACAAAATTACACACAGCAAATTCACACGAATGAAAGATTCCTTTAGTCAAGCTGGTCCAAACAATGTTTTCTTTTCTTTTTAAAGATGTTGTAATAATTGACAATTCTGCGGTAGCCTTGAAAGACAAGAAAAAAAAATTTCACATGAGAATATCAACAAAGTTGTGAATCTTCTTTATGTTTGAAAACAAGTGAAAAAACACATTTCACAAAACTGAACATTTAAGTTTAAAATGGGAAAGTGAACTTTTTTTTAACCCTTTTCACAGCTGAAATAAAAGTAAACTTGGAAAAATGAAATTAAAAAAAGTTTTTCACCTGTTTTTCAAAAAAATGTCACTTGCCTTTTACAATTTCCGTATAATACTATAAGAACCTTTTGCATACTGATTTAGAAAACATTGGACATAATTATCACATTTTGTTTACTTTCTTACATTGCTGAGTCAAATACATCGACAAGACATCATCTAGAAGTACTTACCACTCGTGCAACCACTGTTCCACCTCATATCCTTTCAAGTAGACATGTTCAGTCGAAGGCACAGCATGAAAAGAAATGTGGAACAGTACAACTAACCAGACTTAGAGCAAGCTTTTCTTCACGTAAGGGCTTTAAGAAAGGCAGTATGGATAAAGAGGGGCCTGAATGCTTTGAATTCCAGGCTTTAGCATTTGTATGTCAGAACATAAGTACATGGTAAAAAATGTTAAGTAATCTCTAAAGAAGTCACAATGAGAAAATAAAGGTATGCGATTGCCTTTCTGTTTTTAGTCACCAAGATTAAATTAAAACCTAGCTGGAAATTGGGAACTGTTCCTTCAATAAGGATGGATTCTAGTTAATTCTCCTGTGCTATAATTCTCTTCATCTTTCTTATCTAAAACAGCCTAGCCAGGGAATAATATTTGAACAGTAGGTAATATGAATTCTTTATTCTGTCTTAAGTATATTAGGTCTATTTTCAGGCCCATGATAACAGACTCATCTCTTCCCTCTATTCAGCAACAATCTAATGTCTCTGCTGAGCTCATCTTCTTAACTTTGCTTCCGTCACCGACTCTCCTGTCCCTCGTCTTAGACTGCTGGTGGTTCGTCTTCACTCTCCGCTGCAGCCGTGCCATCTCACCTCCCTGGCGGTGGAGCTGGAGGAGTCGGTCTGCTGCCACGCGGTCACCGTCGTGCTCCAGCGTAGACCGGATGAGCCTCACACCGTCCTGGTGGCGGCTCTGCCCAGCAGAGACCTCAGCTGGGAGCTGTCAAAACTCCAAGCTCAGGGCTACGGGGGCCTCCCAGAGACCTCGTCTGAGATCTCAATGTGTGAAGGAGACCAGCTTCTCCTCCGTTTCAGTGGCAACATCACTTCCACAGGTACCCTACCTGGAGGTTGACTTGCTGACTAATTACAAAAGTTCCATATAATAGAAAAAACTGCCCGAACACTGAGAAAAAAACACCAGAAAGGGCTCTGCAGATGCAAAATTTTCCTTTCTTTTTTTTTTTGGAGAAAAAGTGACAAAACTCACTTTCTAGTCACTTTTTTTCCACATACACGTAATGAACAGATTACTTTTTTGCATCAGAAAAGCCTCTTCTAGTTTTGCAAGCATGGCTCTAGGCTTGCAATGTCTGTCTGTTCGTCCACCACCCTGATCCAGATGGATCATGATATGGGACTGTTTACCTTGGCCGCACACACCTGAACCGACTTCCTGAAAAGCCTGGGTTCAAGAGTTCAAATGCTTTTGAACAGGTTGAACTAGTGGTTAAAGATGACATATACTGTTTGCACGGTTGACTATGTTTGGTATTCTAACAGTGTGGAGTCATCCATGCAAAAAACGTCTCTTTACACTTTGTGGTGTTGAACGTGCACCTTGAACTTGACATGAAGGGAAAGAGACAAAAAGAAGGTTTGATGTAGCAAAACATACATAAAAAGCATCCCTAAAGGTAGCTACAGCAACAACATAAATAATAAAACGGCTGTTGTTGTTGTTGGGGAAGTCATAAAGTTACCATAGGTCAAAACCGGTTTGTCTTCCTGCTGCTGGATGCAACAGACCACAAAATAAAGTGAATGGATTATATGTTTGCACAGGCAGCCTGCAGAATGCACGTGTGTTTACAATCTCAGGTATGTTTGAGCTACAGGGTAACTAATCACAGGTTTTTGCGCGTCCGTGTTTTGTGATAGGAACTCAGAACGGCCGACGTGATCTCCCACACGAGCGAATCACCTTTCACAGTCAGCAGAAGAATCACCTCTCGGTGCATCTAACAGAAGTGGACCCGTTTGGGAACTACAGCTCCCCACACTACAAGGGCACGGCCATGTTTTATAAGGTCACCAGAGGTCAGATGGAGTGGCGAGGTGGCAGACCAGTCCCCACGGACACAAAACTCTTGGGAGATCCCGTTTGTAAGCTGTCTCTGACTTTACCCAAGGTGCAGACGCATTCACAAGGAATTCCACAGTGTACTTGGTGTTGACCTTCACAGTAAAAGAATATTCTAGCATTTTATTCTCTTTCATTTCAGAAAGTGAGAACCATCAATCGGCCCATCATAGCCAGGGTGAAGTTATGCGAGGAGACAGGTGGGTGACACGTTCTGCTTGAATATCTTTTTATTTATAATTCATTTGCTACAGTTTCAATTAAAATGTATCGCAGGGTCGAGCAGAATCCATCTTTTCTTCCAGCGGTGACATCTTCAGTGTGAAGTTGTCATTGCTGTGATGCTGCTGGTTGCTTTCATCTTATCGTAAATATATGATCAGATTTTTGCTGGCTAGGTAACTCAGTACAGTCGTAGTTGAGTTCAGTTTTGAGGTACTTGTACTTTACTTTTGTTTTTCCAGTTTCCACGACTTTATATTTCTACTCCTTTACATTTCAGAGGGATATATTATAAGGATCACTTTTTTTTTTACTTCACTACATTTATCTAACAGCTATTTTCACTGGTTACTTGCATATGTTGACATATGCAGCTTTTACAACAAGCTTGTCCGGTTTTTAAATAATTTAGCTTGCTTTGAATTAACAAAAACTGGTTTAAATTGGTTTTGTATGCATTATGTTACAGTTTTAACACAATTTGATGCATCACTTTGATTATTTTACATTTCTTTTGCCATATTTTAATATATATCAGTATCAGGAAATATCTTTATTGAGCCCTAGACACAAAAAATATCAACTTTTTGTTGTTTATAGCCAATTCTCAACCTCACCTCCATCCTTCTTATCTTGCCCACCCACCAGATTCCCTGTCAGACTCTCTCCTTCTCTGGCTGTCTGGGGAGCTATCAGAGGAGGAAGTAGCCCTTCTGGTGCTGTCCCTGCGTCTCCGCCGTAGCGCTGCTCAGCTGGTGAAGCTCAGGGCTGGGGACAGCCTGTCCACCCAGGCCTTCCATGTCCTGGCCATGTGGAGGAGAGGCCTGCCCGCTGCCGCACACCAACCCAAAGCCTCTCAGCTGGCTCACTGCTTGGCCAAGAGCGGCAGGCCGGACCTGGCCAGAGAGCTGTTGCTGCGACAGGCTGCAGCCACCAGGCCGGGCTCACTGAGAACAGGAAGCTTAAAAAGTAGAACTCACACAGCTTTTTAATCGCTGCTTTTAGTCAGAGCATGTGTGCCTTCCAAAATGAGTTAGTGGTAGTGTTTTCTTTGATCCACAAGGGGTCAGCATTGGACTGTGAGACTCAGACTTCAGTAGATTATGTCTATGAGTCATGACTATGTGAAACAAGTAACTCTTAGAGGCCTGAAGACTTTATTTTACCCAGTAAAAAAGAAAAAAAAAAAGAAAAGATGAAAAATATCTAAAAATAATAGATCTCATTGTGTATAATAATTATATAATATAATTGCTTTTTTTTCCTTTTCTTTTATCCTTTTCATTGTCTTTCATGACCCCTTATATATGTCTTGTGACCCCCTGGGGGCTCCCAAGCCCCAGGCTTGGAACCAGTGCAGTTGGTAATATTTCTTTGTCTCATATTTGATGCAAAAAATAGCTACAGACACAGAGCGAGACATTCAGACAATCAAGGTTAAATATTGGAAAGTACATTCAGTAATCGACACCTTACCTCATATTATGTGTTATAATGCCAAAAATCTCAACAATCTGACTTGAGATACAAGCAGAAAGAATGATCTGCAACTAAGGCTTGATTCATAATTAAATAATAAAAACAAAGTTTGTTATATACTAGATGTGTTGTATGTAGTGTAGCCATCTAACTGTGGTTGACAAGTTACATCTCAAGAGCTTTCTCAGGTTATTTTAACATTCTGAGTCTGAGCATTCTCTGACAGAGCCTTCACATTCTGACTTTATTTTGAAGTTTGTCTCCACAGACAGATGGGTGATTTACACGACCAGTCAGCCATATCTCTTCTCTCTGTGTAAACAAACGTTGACACTGAGCTGTGACCTCTTTCCAGCTCCCTGACACCTAGTCATCTTAAAGACTTGACAGTGTCTGCTGATGATAACTGATTGGATAACAAAGCCCTGTTTCAGCATAATACGGTTAATGTTTTTGATGTGAACTGGGAAGATATATATATATATACATATACTGTATGTGTGTGTGTGTGATTTGTGTGGTATGAATATGTGTGCCTTTAAAATGAAAAGTAATATGCGTTTTTTAATGTGTGCAAATTCTATCACATGGTGTTTATCACGTGGAGTTTTCCCAGTTGTCATGGAATTGACCGTTCACCCCCCCCCCCCTCTAACAGTGAACAGTGAAGTTAAATCATCACTTAGCACGAAAATACTAGAACAAAAGTTTGTAGTAGGCCTGGTGAGGTGTCTGTGAATGTGTGTGTGTGTTTGTATGTATGGAATGTAAGTGTAACGATGTTAACCTCGCAGTTTTTTTTATATATGTATTGTATTTTAAAGAGCCTTGTGGTGGTTTAGAGTCCCTCAGTTATCTGTGACTATCTATGTATTACCATCTTGTCATCCTGGAAAGAGGACCACAATGGAAATAAGTTATTTTAACATTTATTGAATATGTATGCATTTGTTGCAATGTTTGACAAGGTATATATATATACCTATTTGAGATGACAAATAAAATCAAGTGTAACAAATGGATTAAAAAGTGTGTGCCTGCCCTAACATTAACTGTAATTGTTTGCATGTCCAATTAAATAGTTACAGTATAAATTAGTAATCAATTTAATTAATGTACTCAGTGAAGGCAACTATCCCCACTTCGTCCATTATTTCCTGATAACGGACACCTCATGGGAATTATCCCTTAGTTAATATTTATGACAAAAAGCATGACATCAATATTGGCACGATCTCGTGTTGGCATATGACTATATGAATACATACCTTAGAGGTTGATGGCTGATCCATAGTCCTCTGATTACAGATGTATTTGCCATCTGGGGTGAAGCAGTAAAAGGTGGCAATCATTTGAACAACTTTCTGCACTGTGCTAATCTCCATCTCAGCACCCATGTGCAAAACGTTGGGTCTTCCTTAGGTTGTTGGCAGGACCATCTGCTGGGTACGGTTGGTGCACATACACCTCATCAGGGACTAGATGTTTTAGGGGCAACATTTCTGTTCCCCGGATTCCAGCCTAACCATTTTATGTATTTATTCAGATTTCAGCAGCTTCAGTCCTGCTGTCCACTTACATCCTTCTTATGCTTAAAGAGCGCTTTTCATTTGGAGAAATCGCACGTTGTAAACATGGCTACTGTGGCCATCTAGAGGTGGAATGTGAGCCCATCTTTTGGGAGCTGCTTGCTCTACTCCACGAAGAGCTCCACGTTAATCCAACCATTATCTGAAACCTCAGCAGTCTGGCTAAAATTTAAGGAATGAATATTTTCCAAAATACCGTGTTTAAGGTCAGGACAAGATCTGAGGTAATACCTTGTAACAGAAAACGAGACGGCGAAACAGCTGCATGGAGCGAAACGGCCCTGGATCTATTCCTTCCACCGTCATAATCATATCTGATTAATTCAAAGATAGATTTCATAGTCTCCCTCTGGGGTAAGGGTTAGAGGAGTTAGAAAGAGAATAGGGTTAGGGTTGGGGTTGTTGGCAGAAGAATTTTGATGACCACTGTTATCACACAGAAGTAACTAAGCAGGGTGGGTCTTGGGAAACAGTCCAGTGTTTTTTTCTGAGCACTTCAAGGACTTTTTGCCCATGTTAAAAGCAGAGGTATCAAAATTTATCAAAAGCTCCAGAACGAAGAAGAATAAATTAGCCTTACGTTGTTTCCAAGGTCAAGAACAAACACTGAACCTCAGCTTTTAGGCGAACATGGATGAGAAGTCTTTAAAAGCTCTGAAGAAACAGATTTCAACATCGATCATTTCCTGACAAGTGGGCCAACTCCTTCTGATCATGAAGATCGTGCGATATGATACAGCTAACAAATGGACCTCGAGGTGAGATTGTTTTCATTACATCTAAAAACCCGCCTCTCTGTTGAAGTTGGTTTATGCAGCGCTAAAACGTTAACTAAATTGTGGGCAGCAGAAGTGTGCTTCTGTCTTTTTAATGACATTCACCGGGCTTTTTTTTTTCATCTGTCTTCACAGCCTCACGCTCCAGCTGTGTGACATTCTGGAGGCCCTGAGCTGAAGCAGGGGGGTAATGATAGATGCCATGTGTCCAGGTGGGGGGTAGGAGACGCCCCGCAGAGACCACCCAGTGCTGAAAACGAGGGTGAGGAAGTAGAGGGAGGGGAGGGTGACAGTTAATGAAGTATGAAATGGTAACAGGTGGAACTGATGTATTAAACAGGATGATCGCTCCTGCTCCTTCTCTGTCACTTGCTGACAAAAACTGTCTCCTCTATTCATTAACCTTTTTCACTTCCCGCCCTTCTGTTGTACCTGAGCTCCACTCTTGGGGGTGGGTGGGTGTGGGGGCGTATTACTCCGATATTTCTCTTCCAAATGCTTTACAATCCCTCTTCGCTATTATCTCCCCACTTTTCTTCCTTCTTTGCCGTCAGTGTGATTCCAAAGGACATGTGTGGCATCACTATCAGGAGAGTTTTGTGCCTCTAGTGAGTGTGCCAGAGGGGGGTATCATTAGTCTGGAACAGGGCCATCAAACACGCACACACACATTGAGGGTCTTGCTAGAGGTAAATGTCACAGAGGGGGCTCCCACAGCGCCAGGAAATCGTTTCCTCTCTCATTTTGTCTCCCTTCTCTCCCCCTCTACATTATTGAAAAGGCCACGCAGCAAGGCACTATGGGAGGTTGCCCGTCGTCCAGTGGGGGAGTATACAGAGGGCTGATGAGGTGAAGAATTCCCACGGAGTGCCAGCATAGAGAGATTCTGATTAAAACCTCATCTGTTTCATCATTCATTTCATCATCCTCTTCTTCGTTCGGAGCGGTCTGACTTTTTTTCTATTTTTTTATTGCAGAAATCATCGCTGCTTTGATCAGTCACTGCTGTCTGTTTAGCTGTCAAGGTAAAAAACTGTCCGATGTGATTGAGATGCAGAAACAGGCATGATGATGATGAAGAGCGCTTGGGTGGGGGAAAAAAGAAGTGCCAGAACTTTCCGTGTGTCGGCCAGTATCAGCTAATCATCATCAGTATTACATTCAGAATTTTTTACTTTTATTCATTCAGATATTGCTGATGTTCACAACATAAATCCATTTAACCAAGAGGACAAGCGTTTAAATCGTTAGAGCAAAAAATAATTGACCATGTGCAGTTAAGTCCGGGATGCCCTTAGTTCCTTATGTTCCAAGCGAAGTCCCTGGATAGTTTCTCTTCTCTCGACTTTTAGTGTGTCACACAAACAAAGCACCTCTGCATCACCATGCTCTTATATCCGGCTGTCCCTCAGGCTATCTACGCTAGCTTTGGTGTGTGGTGCAATGAAGTCATCAGACCTGCAACTCGGCTAGGGGGGGCGATGAAAACAAGGTGACTCCACATCTATCAGAGGAGGCATATGGTAGTATCTTGCTATCAGACTGGCACTCTGCTACGGACACACACAACAGGACGAACAGATAGAGGAGGAAAAGAGTGCTAAGATACTTAGGTTGTTTTATCTGATTTAATATTTAATTTTAGCTTTAATTCAGCAAGCACTAGACAGAAGTGGCACCCGTATGTTCTGGGGTTTAAAACTCATTTGTCAGGTTCTTTGACTGCTGTTTCATCAGCATCTCTCCTTGCCTTTGCCTGGGAGAGACAGAAAGCAAGTTAGCTATGAATGTGGTGATGAATTCAGCGAGGATATCACATTAAACAGTAAATTAATTCAGCATCACTTGACACCTATTGCACCTATGAATAATGAAACACATCACCAAATTTGGCAAATACTCGCAGCCAAAGCTAGAAGAGGTAAACAAAAAAAGGCCTAAACAGAAATATTAAAAATTATTTTGAAAATGATTCTGCATGCACGTAATATTACAAGACAATGTGATATCCATCCGAAATTAGATGTTAACCCACTTAAAAAAGGTTCCGGCAGGTCTTAGGGTCAGTTGTGCTCGCCAGCCATGACTTCACATATTGATGTGGATTGAACTGCTCTAATGATGGCCCATTGCATTTCAGAATAAAAA